TGTCCGGCAACGGATCGCAACCCTCAGTGTCGCGCCCGTACTGGACCGGGACCGGCAACGGGATCGCAACCCTCGGTGTTGCTCCCACACCTCGCTCAGCCAGTGAGCGGGAACCGGTCTGTATGTGGGATCCGAACCCTCGGCGGGAGCGCCACCACACTCCCAAGTGGCGCACCGTAGCAGTGCGCCACTGGGCCGGCCCTTAACCCTATTTTTTAAGAACAAATTTTGTTTTGCTTTAAATACTATCACATCTCATTATTTAGTGAAAGATTAGGACATACTAGCTGAAAATGTTAGTCATATAAATTCCATGGTTATAATGGGTTTATTTTTTTGTAATCAAATCATCGAAAGAAAGACACTAGTTGCAAATTTTGTTAATTTGTTTTAAGTTGTTAAATATAAGCCTTTAATTTTTCAGCTGTCCAAAATAGCACTCAATGCACATACTTGAGATATTTAACAGAATTACTTTTTTTCTTACCTTACATTTTGAAATTCTGCCTCTTGATCAGAAAAAGTAGAAATGAATTTCAGTATTTTGTCTCATACTAGCTTCCCGTAGCCTTCCATTTTGAGGAGAGCTAAAAATATAACCAAGGAGCTGATATTTAAGAACAATGAAAAACTGTTAAATAATTCAGAGAAATAAATATGCCAATAGTAAAAGTAAATATAAATTAGAATACTTCTCTTACATAGATTTCATTGAGAAGAGCTTTGTGATAGATCATCATTTGGTTATCATTTAGTTCCCATAGAATTTCAGAATATAAACCATGGTCTTTAAAACAACTGGGATTTAAAGAATGAAAATCCAAAAGACTACTAATAAGTCATTGTCAACTATGCTCCTTACAGTTCAAATTTAATGTTTTCCATCAAATCCTAAGGGGATTTCTCTGCACTGACATTAATGTGTCTCTCTGGAGAGATCTGGTCCCCAAAACATATAAACCATGTGGTATTAATTAAGGACACCCTGTGAGACAATGAGGTGAAAGCAAATGACCTTCACTAAATTCTGTTTGATGATGACCTTGCTGATTACTTTGTATCTGACCTTATCATTACATTTCTGCTCACCACCCTGTACGTAAAAATGTAAAGCAGAAAAGAGTCTCAAGGTGCTGTGACTGTTACTGGAGGAAGTGAGATTAGTTTGGTGTGAAAGATAATTAAGATTTCCTTAGTTGTCTAAGGAAACTCTACACTGTTTTCCACAATGGCTTTACCAACTTACACTCCCACCAACAATGTGGAAGGGTTCCCTTTTCTCCACAACCTCATCAGCATTTGTTATTTTCTGTCTTGCTGATAATAGCCGTTATAACTGGGGTGAGATTATATCTCATTGTGGGTTTAAATTGTATTTCCTTGATGATTACTGATTTTGAGTATTTTTTTATGTGCTTGTTGACCATTTGTATGTCTTCTTTTGAGATATGTCTGTTCGGGTCCTTTTCCCATTTTTTAATTGAGTTATTTTTTTTGCTGTTGAGTTGTTTGAGTTCCTTATGTATTCTGGATATTAGACACTTGTCTAATGTGTAGTTTGTAAACAATTTCTCCCATTCTGTAGGTTGTTTCTTTACTTTGTTGATGTGTCCCTTGCTGTGCAGAAGCTTTTTAGTTTGATGTAGTCCCATTTGTGTATTTTTGCTTTAGATGCCTGTGCCTTTGTAGTCTTGCTCAGAAAAGCACTGCCCACTCCCATTTCGTGCAGCATTTTCTCTCTGTTTTCTTCTAGTAGTTTCATAGTTTCCAGTGTTGAATTTAGGCCTTTAATCCATTGAGTTGATTTCTTGTGTGTGATGGGAGATAGGAGTCTAGTTTCAATCTTCTGCATGTGGATATCCAATTTTCCCAGTACTATTTATTGAAAAGGCTATGCTTTCCCCATGCTGTATTCTTGATAGTTTTGTCAGAAAACAGTTGGCTGTCAGTGAGTGGTTTATTTATGGGTTCTCTATTCTGTTCCATTAGTCTAATTGTCTATTTTTATGCAAGTACCATGCTGTTTGGTTACTACAGCTTTACTAGTATACTTTGAAGTCAGGCAGTGTGATGCCTCCAACTTTGCTCTTTTTGTTCACAATTGTTTTAACTATACAAGGTTTTTTGTGATTCCATACAAATTTTAATATTTTTTCAATTTCTGTGAGGAATGTCATTAGTATTTTAATTGCATCGAATGTGTAGATTGCTTCGGGTAATATGGACTTTTAAAAATTAATTGATGAATTAATTTTTCACTTACTCTACCTTCCTCCTCCCTTTTATTTGTTGCCTCTCTCCCTTCCTTCCTTCTTTCCTTCCTTCTTTCCTTCCCTTCCTTCTTTCCTTCCTTCCTTCCTGCCTTCCTTCCATCCTTCCATCCTTTTTTCAAGGCACCCACTTATAAGTGAGGGCACACAGTATTTCTTTCTGTGCTTGGCTTATTTCACTTAACATGATTTTCTCCAAGCTCATCCATGTTGTTGCAAATGGCAGAATTTCATTCTTTTTTTTAATGGAAGAGTTGTATTCAATTGTGTATATAAACCATATTTACTTTATGCAGTTGTCCATCAATGGACATTTAGGTTGGTTCCATATCTTGGCTATTGTAAACAGAGCTGTGATGAACATTGGAGTGCAGGTATCCCATTGACATGATGATTTCTATTCCTTTGGGTGTATACTCAGAAGTGGGATTGCTAGATCATATGGTAGTTCTATCTGCAGTTTGAGAAATCTCCATACTGTTTTCCATAATGACTTTATTATTTTACAGTCTCACCAACAGTGTAGTAGAGTTCTCCTTCCTCCACATCCTCATCTGCAATTGTTATTCTTGGTCTTTTTAATGATGGCCAGTTTAACTGGGATGAGATGATATCTCAGTGTGGTTTTGACTTGCATTTCCCTGATGATTACTGATGTTGAGCATTTTTTCATCTACCTGTTGTCCATTTGTATGTCTTCCTTTGAAAAATGTCTACTGAGTTCCTTTGCCTACTTTTTATTTGGATTATTATTATTGTTGTTGTTTACCCTGAAGTTGTTTGAGTTCCTTATATATGCCGGATATGAATCCCTTGTCAGATGTACAGTTTGCAGATATTTACTCCCATTCTGTAGGTTGTCTTTCTGCTCTGTTGATTGTTTCCTTTGCTGTGCAGAAGTTTTTAGTTTGATATTGTCCCATTTCTTTGTTTTTTCTTTTATTGCTTGCACTTTGGGGGTCTTTTTCATAAAATTTTTGCCCGGTTCTATTTCCTGAAGTGTTTTCCCTATGTTTTCTTTTAGTAATTTTATGGTTTCAGGTCTTATACTTAAGTCTTTAATCCATTTTGAGTTGATTTTGGTATATGGTGAAAGGTGCAAATCTAGTTTCCTTGCTCTGCTTATGATGTCCAATTTTCCTAGCACTATTATTGAAGAGGCAGTCTTTTCCCTAATGATGCTGTTAATTCCTCCAACCCAAGAACATGGGATATGTTTCCATTATTTGTGTCCTCTTCAATTTTTTTCACCAATATTTTATAGTTTTCATTGTAGAGGTGTTTCACCTTCTTGGTTAAATTTGCTCCTAGTTATTTAATTTTTTTGGTAGCTACTGTAAATGGGATTAATTCCTTGATTTCTTCTCCA